AGTGGCACTGATTTGGCAGGTGGGATTGGCCTCGACGTCGGGAAGGATACCTCTCGGTACCTGACCGAGCTGACCTCTTCGTTCCCGTCCTCTTGAGGATGTTGTTGCGAAGTGGAAGAAGATAATCGGGCCCAGACCACCTTCCGAACGCACTGCACTGCCCTGGATTTCGGCGGATGTAAGGGTACCGGCATGCTCAAAGTTGACTGCAGGGACCAATCCGGTGTGATGCTGGGTCCGCTTAGTTCATCATGGAGGCCCCACTGCATCCCACTGGCCGGTGGAGGGGCGGCGCTGGTTTTCAGCTTCCTTCAGTTCGGGCCACTCTGTGTGTCGCAAGTTTCGTCTCTCACATCATTTGGCTTTGTCTCTCCTGGTTTCTCTTCTTTCCGCTCCTACCTAACCTACCTATGAAATTCTAATCATTCATTGACTTCTTTTTGATGTTGGTCTTGCGCCTTGAAGCAACATGCACTGACCCGAACATTCCGTCTCGAAGCTTATCTTCTGATCCTCCAACAAATTCCCCTCCTACGGGTGCTCAGGCCCCCGCCACACACCCTAAAAATATACCCCACGATCCTGTCTCCAGCCAAAAGGCTTGGCAACAAAAGTCCAGCCTCCAGCCTTTCCATATCACCAAGATTCGGGGCACTGAAGTCCTTGGGTATCTGGCCTGACTTCCGACTTCCGACTCGACCTTGCACAAACACACAAAATCAACTACGTATACCCAACGTCGACCCGGCACGCGACCCGGGACACTCGGGGTCTTCTTTACCGTTCGTTGGTTGTTGGACTTCACCTCTTCTCTCCCCTACCTATACGAGGCTCATCTCGCTCGCAAACAGCAACCGTTTCAACTTGCTCGACGTCGACTCCACCGGCCCTCTTTTTAAAGCTCGGTCAATCACTGCGTCTCCGTCAGACGATCCGGATCGACTTAATTCCCCGTCTCTAAGCCCAAGCTTACAATTACACAACGCGAGCAAGTCCGGTTGTTGAACCCCTTTTTTGTCTTTGACAGTCGGCGGCTACAAAGACCTTGTTGTTTTATTTTGTTACAAACCACGTACTTTCACCGCGTCTTGGCCTTCCAGAAATAAACGCCGAACCTTTTACTAGTATTGGGTCTAGCCATTCACGCCTACGGAGCCGCGCTTCCGATCTGGCCGTCCTTCTTCCAAACGGTTTTGGACTTGTTCAGTTGGCGGTAACGCTACGTTTCGGGTCGACGACATCCCTGGCCGCCCTTCCCCGGATCCCTCTCTGAGTGGTTTCGGAATTCAGTGTGTTTTTCTCACTGGTTTATGCTGTCTTCTCTACAACGGCAAAGACTGCCCCATCCATACAATTATCTCAACTTCTCGCCTGAACAGCAACCAAAGAACGGCATTTCTCACTCCTCCACACCGACGATTCCAGGTCGCCGTGTGCTTTCCTCTGCGCAGCCATGGATCAAGCTGTGCAAATACTCGAAGTGGCGCATCATGTATACGCTCGTGCAGATAGTACGGCAGATCTGGATCATGCCACTCGACCGCCCTCTTACAAAATCATCGGCATCCTTCTCGCCGTCGGCTCCGGCTTTTTCATCGGCAGCTCCTTCGTTGTGAAGAAGATGGGCCTGCTAAAAGCCAACGAAAAGTACAACGAGGCGGCCGGCGAGGGTTACGGATACCTCAAGAACGCGTGGTGGTGGGCGGGCATGACCCTCATGCTGATAGGGGAGGTTTTGAACTTTGCCGCCTACATGTTCGTGGACGCCATCTTGGTCACCCCTCTCGGCGCCCTCTCCGTCGTTATCGCTACTGTCGGATCCGCCATAGTCCTCAAGGAACGGCTGAGTATGATCGGCAAGGTTTCTTGTTTTCTGTGCATTGTCGGCTCCGTCGTCATTGTCCTCAACGCACCGCAAGAGTCCGCTGTCGCCAACATTCAGCAGTTCCAGGAATTCGTCATTACGCCCAGCTTTCTCTCATATGCCGGTGTCATTGTTCTGGGCGCAGCAATCGCAGCCTGGTATGCCGGCCCTAGATGGGGAAATAAGAACATGTTGGTATACATCTCCATCTGCAGCTGGATTGGCGGTCTCAGTGTTGTCTCTACTCAAGGCTTGGGCTCGGCCATCGTTGCCCAGGCCGGAGGCGAGCCTCAGTTCAAGGGATGGTTTATCTATGTCGTCATTGTCTTCTTTATTGCCAGTCTTTTGACTGAGCTGATTTACTTGAACGTAAGTCTCCCTGCCGGTCGCCTCAGCTTGCCGACTCATATACTTACGCTCCTTACAGAAAGCGCTGAACTTGTTCAACGCCGCCATGGTTACTCCAACCTATTACGTGTACTTCACTAGCACGACCATCATTACTTCGGCCGTCCTGTTCAAAGGCTTCAAGGGCACAGCTGTCTCGATCGTCACCGTGGTCTTCGGTTTCTTGACGATCTGTTCCGGCGTCGTTTTGCTCCAGCTGTCCAAATCCGCCAAAGATGTGCCCGACGCCGCTGTCCTTTCTGGAGACCTGGACCAGTTTCGCACAGTCGCAGAGCAGGAACAGCCCGAAACCGAGCCAAAGGCCGACGCCCTCAGAGGTGCCGCTGCAATTGTCAGACGTTTATCGTCGGCCAAGCAGCAGAAGATGGAGATGGAAGAACTCAAGCGATTACATCAAGAAAAGATGATGGAGACCCTGGAGACAGTTGGCGAGGATGGTCCTGTGTACGAATGGGATGGACTAAGGCGGAGAAGGACGACATTGGGCAGCAACTCGGGAAGTCGACGATCAAGAGCTGCGACCTCGGCAACCTTTCAACTCCCGCCCCCGACAATACACCCGCCCCTTGGATGGTCTCATTTCCCGACAGACGAAGAGCTCGCTGCAGCCGATAGACCCGCTTCACCTGCCCTTTCCAGTATCGTCGGCACCATCCGCAACCGTGCGCGCAGCGTCCTCCTCCCCGGCCACCCGAACTTTCGCCCCAACTCGGCATCCAACAAGGTGCAAAGTCCTATGCACCCCGTTCAGCTGACCGAGATCGCAGTACCGGCGCAAAACTTTGACGAGGAGACAGGGTATTACCCCCAAGGATCCGCTGCCGGGCCCTCAAAGGGATATTTGTACGACAGACCAGGAAGTAGAGGTAGTATCTCCAGTTCCGGGCGTCGAGTACAATTCTCCACCGAAGCCAACCACCCATCTAGCAGCACGCTCGCCCCTCCTCTAGCTCCGCCTCCCCCACGGACGCCACCAGGCGCCACCAGGCAATTTTCTTTCCAAAGCGTCTTCAAGCGCGGCGATCGACACAGCCAGCACGCCCACACGCAAAGCGATGGCGCTAACTCGCAACTGTCCTCTCACTCCTCCGACAAGCAGGACAGAGATAGACTGACCACCCACCGCGGCTTCTCCACGCCGCACATAATACGGGGCGCATCCGAGGAGGAGACGTTGGGGCTTGTCAGGGGCGACTCGCGCGACTCCCGGACCACGCCGCACACATCGAAGCAATATGACGACGACGATGACGACGAGTGTTCCGAAGAGTTTGAAGATGTTGGGAGATACATTGACGAGAAGCAATCGCGGTACGGCCCGAGCATCACGCATAGTCCGACGCGTGCTCCAGGAGTAACCGGAGGAGGACAGCGTGGAGAGCAGCAATATCCCGGCGGGGAAGAGGAGGATGTGAAGAAGGAATATACTGAGCATGTGGAAAGTGGTGGGCAAGGGCAAGGGCAAGGGCAAGGACAGGGACAGCAGCAAAGATCAGCAAGAGACGACCCGAGTTCGTACCGGGAACGTTTGAGAAGGCTTAGGGAGCATGAACGTGGTCAGAATAGTGGGAGTGGGTCGGGGCCATCGCCGCCTTCGAAATCGAATTCCAGTCGTGGAGATGGGGGGGGGTTTCATCTGATCTGATCGGATCTGATCTGATCTCGGAACGTGTTGACTTATACCGAAGATGGGACGATGGAACCGGTCGGAATGGCACAAGACGGGACAGGCGGAACGGGCCGGAGTATGCAACAACAACGACAGCGGAAAAGAAACAAAACGCGTTTTTGGTGGATACCCCCTTGAGAGACACCCTTTGGGACGAAACGAGACGAAACGAAACGAGTAACGAACGAATTTTGTTCCCCTTCCTTTCCTTGTTTGCATACCATACATATCCTTATCATTCTTGATTATGATTCACATATTGCATCACAACCTATCTCTGTACACGAACGATCCATGCATGCAATGTTTCTTTGCGCCTTGTACTTGTATTGTACCTGTACGAGAGTTTGGTTCATATTTTCCAGTACTAGTTACTGGTACTGGTACTGGTACTGAAGAGGAGAGGGTGGTTATATAGATGGGATGGGATGTCACGATGGAGGGAGGGAGGGTTGCGAAAAACTTTATATGATGTATGTGATTATGACATGTCTATCTCTCGGTTATGGATGAGGAAAAAGGGGCGGCTTTTGCTTATATGTAGTATAGTATATACGGAGGATTGTTGTTCCTTTTTAGGTTATTAGAAGACTAGCAAATCAACTCGGGCATGAGGGCGATGACAAATAGAAGTAACGAGTTTTGCATCCGTGTGTACGGAAGGCGATCAGATATGGGTCTAAGAACCTTGATGGCTGATTTGACCATGTCGATTACGCTCGTCACGGGACAGGTGTATAAGTCAAAGAACTTTTGAAGAAACAACAGGATGCAACGCCAATCGCAAAATATCTCCAAGCGTTAGTCGCTGTTAACTTCTTAACAAAATGCTGTTCGGTGATACTGTTATTTCTGATCGTGATGTTCTGGCAGTGATGCCGAGGGAACAAGCTGAGTTCTAGAATGTTCCCATTTGGGTGGTTTACAAATGCAGATAGCTTGAGCAAAGTAGCGTCCCCTAACTGCTGTTACTGTTCCTTGGTGAAACAGCACCTCACACTAACAAGGACGTGGATAAGATACTGAGGATTCGTTTAGCTGCACCCCGGCCTGCCGGTATGTGGATCAGGACCCCAGATTCCCCAATAACCGCCAGAACCCCACCACGTCAAAGGGCACGGCAGGCAGCTTCATGAACTCCCCGACTCGAAGATCCCGACTGTAAACAGCTCATTTTCGAACTTCTGTCCACGGCCGCCTTGGATCAGCAGGCTACTTCGCAAATACTCCCCCGCAAGGTATGCGCCCGCCATTGCTCGTTCCCACCTTCAAGTGTCACTGTCCTCCTCCCTGAGGACACTCCTCTCTACCTCCTCGGACCTCCGATCTCGTGCTACACAACCCACCACCTCCGACCTACGAGTGCGACGGAATATCAGAAATCAACTCAAGCAACAGCAGCAACAAGATGTCAGGACAGTCCTCAATAGCCCTCAAAGAGGAGGGTAACCGCCACTTCCAAAAGGGCGATTATGTCGCCGCTGAGGCGTTGTACACCAAAGCGTAAGAGAATCCTTCCTCTCCCATCCCATCCCTTTCCCTTCCCCTCGTTCGACTGTTCTCGTCCAAAAAAAAAAAAACTAACCACCTATGTATGGGCCTCTCTATCCAGAATCCTCTCCGACCCCACAAACCCCCTCCTCTACACCAACCGCGCCATGGCGCGCCTCAAAATGTCACGCTGGGACTCGGTAATCGAAGACTGCGAGGAATGTCTCCGCCTTTCCTCCCTTTCCTCCTCCTCCAGTACCCCCGGTTCCAAGGCGCCGGGCAGCAAAAACTTCAAAGCCCTCTACTACCTCTCGCAAGCGCACCTGCCCTTGAAAAACTACGACCAGGCCGTTTCCTACGCGCTAGAAGCGCACAAGATCTGTGCCGAGACGCATGATAAGAGCTTAGCGGCCGTGACGAGCCAAGTCCTGAAATGCAAGAAGGAGAGGTGGGAGCATCGGGAGAAGCTTCGGAGGAGGGAAGAACAAGAATTGGAGGGGGAGGTGGTGGAGATTTTGAGGGGGGAGATGGAGGGTTTACTAAAGGGTAGTGATGATGAAGCCGAAAAGAAAGAGACGGAAAAAATGTACGAGGACAAAATCGAGAGGATAAGAGCCGCCTTTGAAAGGGCGAGGGAGAAGGAAAACCAGAGAAGACCGAATCCGCCGGATTGGGCGATTGATGATATCAGTTTTCAGGTTATGGTTGATCCTGTTATGGTGAGTTTTCCAGCCAGCCCCTTTTCTTCCTTTTTTTTTTTTTTCTTTTTTTCCTCCATTTTATCTTTCAACCTTTTTTTCTGCATCTTTTTTTTACCATTCTCGCGGTAGCTAACAAAACGACACCCCCAAAAAAAAACAGACAAAAACAGGCAAATCCTACGAGCGCGCCTCCATCGAGGAACATCTCCGAAGAAGCGAAACGGATCCGCTGACGAGGGCACCCCTGACCATTAAGGATCTGATGCCCAACATCGACCTTAAGCACGCTTGCGAGGAGTTCCTGAATGAAAATGGGTGGGCTGTTGACTGGTAGGAGCGTAGCGATGGTTCCTCTCGGTAGTGGTTTACGATCTCCCCACCCACCTGGCCTTGTTTACTTGAAGAATATTCATTGTTTTGGGGCGGTTCTTGGGGCTAGCATTTTGTTCCATGTTGTTATAGTTACCTACTGCATAGCAGAGCGGTGTTTCTGGGAGTTGTTAAGTTGTTTGTTTGTTCGGCTTATCGGCTTATATAAGCGGGCGATGCGTTCATTGCCTTTTAATCGTTAGCTCAATCACAGCTGCTTCGTGGTTGTTCTTCTTTCTACCATCTACTGTAATTATCAGAGCAAGAAGAACATCGTGTTGGTCAACAACCCAAGCAGTGTGCCAGTGACAAGATATATAATCAACAGCATATCCACTATATTCACACTTTCTCACATCGTCATCCCTGATTTTCATACAGCTACAAATCATGCTCAGCCATATACACATCCTAACATCCACCCCAACCCCAGGCTGGAATCAACAACAACAACACCACAAGACATCCAGCTTGCCCGATACCTCCCACGTCAACGTACAATACAGCAATATCATACACACACACACTGAACAGAAGAAATATCGTGTTTTGCTCGGCCTGGCCGCAGGCTTGTCCACCCACCGGATCAACAACTCATCGGTTCCCAGCCTCGAATACGAAATTATTCCAATGTGAAAAGCACCAATCCAAGTTCCCCCACCCCTCATCATGAAGAAACGCACCCCCCAGCAAAGTAACAAGGACAATGAGCCAGAGGTGCCAAGATTTTGAACAAGTAGATATGAACAATTTGCAAAGTCCCGAAAGCACCCAAGGCGAACGGGAAGAATGAACAAGAAAAGTTGGACCAGATTTCAGGAATATCATCAGACTTCCTTGTGAGATCTGGTCGTAAAAGAAGTGAACTGAATGGTAAAAGCATCGCAAGCCATTGGCGCGAGTGTGGTTGAAATATTTCCTCCCAGTGGTGAGTGACGGGACCCCAATCTCCTCATTTCCCACTCATCTCCATAAACGCCATTGCCTGATTATTTGTTTTTGCCCGTGAAAAAAGAGAACCTTATGCTCCGAATGAAAGGGTATCTGGGACACGCATGTTCGTTGTGGCATGTTTTTGTACAATATGTCAAAAGGGTATCGATCATTTGTACTTTATGTTATTAATATGCCTGCCCTGGCGCTGTCTCGTTGCTCACTGGTGGCAGAGGAGCAGGAGCAGGAGATGCGGTTCGCGACTCTGGGCGGTATTCCTGGGCAATCGGGCTGGGTCCGGGAGGCGTCATTCGTCGATTCGCGGTGACGGGGCTTTGCGAGCCGTGGGTTATGGGCCGGTCAACCGGCGACCCGGGGTTTCCGCTCTGCACCGGGCTCATGGGGTTGTTGCCACCCGGTGAGGCAGGATGTCCACCGTTGGGGCTCATCGGTCCATTACGTGGCATCATTGGCCCGGCGGGGGACTCAGGTCTAGACCACGAGCCGGAAGATGGTGGGCCGCGGGGGTTCATGAACTTGGTGTTGATGGGTCCGGGCCCGGGACGTCCGCCGTGCGGGCCACCATGAGGAGGTCCGCGGGGAGGTCCGCCGGGACCACGGGGTCCTCCGTTAGGGCCATGATTAGGTCCGGGCCCGTATCCAGGTCCCCCATTTGGGCCGTAGTTGGGGCTCATAGGTCCATAGCCAGGTCCTCCAGGCCCATAGTTGGGCCTAACCGGAGGCCCACGGGGACCAGGACCGCCCTGAGGAGGTCGTGGCTTCACTGGACGCGCGGATAAGCAAGTCCGAGGAACAACTCCCTGCTGAGACCGGTCGAGACGAATGCAAAGTGCCCAGCCATCGTCGTACTCGTGCAGAAGACGAACCAATTGGCCAGATTGGAGACCCAATTCGTCCTCCAAGGTCGGCTTGAAGTCGAGCTGCACACGATGGACAGTTGACTGTGCGGGTCCTCCAGCAGCAGCAATAGCGGCAGCGCTAGCCGAAGGACCAGGTGATAGGCCAGGAGCGACAGTGTTCATGCTATACTCTGTTCCAGCAGGGCTGGGCGGGTGGGCGTTCAAGGGCAGAGGTGGAGGTTTGGTCAGATCAAGAGGTTTGGGTCCATCTTTCCGGATAGAAGTTTTCCGAGCTAGACCGCCAGCAGCGGCACCCGCAGCAGCACTCGCGACAGCTCCAGCCGCAGCGGCATCGGCTTCAGGCGCACCAGGGGAGACAAGCGAGTCGCCAGCCGGGCTGACTGGTGAAGACTCTTCGGGAATTTGCTGGTTATCACCGAATGGGTTGGAGCTCGCACTGGTACCGGGCCGTTCTCCAGCGGTTTGAGTCGAGCTGACAGTAGGACGCTCCCAAGCGCTAGCTCCTGCGGGACGGTTGAGGGGTGACGCTGGTGCGTTCGAGCTGAGGTTCGACATGTTGGCGCGGCTAGCTCTCCTTTCTGGAACGCCGCCGGGCATGAACTGAGATTCGGGTCGCAAGCTCAACTGAGGGGCAGCGGGGGGAGTTGGGGGAGTTTTGATTTCGTTCTTGTCGGAAAAGGGACCGTTGATCTTCTCATCATCTGCCAGGCGTTGCTTCTCTGCTTCCATCTGGCGCTTTCGCTTGTTGAAGAGGAACCACACCAACAGGAAGACAGCCAGCAAACCAGCCAACACACCAATGGCAATACCGGCTGTGGCAGCGCTGCTGGTTCCTTTTTGAGTGCTGCTTGCTGCGGTGGCGGTTGGAGCAGCAGTTGCGGATGTGGCTGCTTCCAAGGTCTTGGATGTCGGCTCCGCAAGCGCCAAGGTAGACTCAAGCTCGAAGGTTCCTGTTGACCTGATCTCATCCGTCACTAATTCTGCAGGCGATGATGACACTGCTGGTGCTGACGCCTTGGTGGTGAGAGCTCTTAATGTGGTGGATGCCGGGGCGTTGCTGTGGTGTGTAGTGGTGTGCGCAGTCGTGGTCGCATGGGCAGCACTAGCGGTAACAGGAGGCCCCTTGGTCGCAATGGTTTCCTCGGCTGTAGCTGTCGCCCAGAAGCTCTCGTCGGTCACTGTTTGCGCGATTCTAGTGGTGACAGCCTCCGTTTTTTGATCGGGTGAGAATACATTGTTCCAAAATGACTTGACGTCGTCCCAGCCCTTGCGCTCCAGATGGTGATGCGCATGGCGCATATGAATCCTATGGTCAGACATGTTGGTCGAGTATCGTATATAGAACTAGTCGTGATGCTTCGGGTGATGGTGTTGGTCCTGTTACTTTGGATGAATGATCCAATCGCTTTCGTCTCTTTCGTCGTCGTTTAAGTAAAGTAAGTGTGATGTGATGATGGTGTCTTCACTTTCGTGAGGTTTGCGTAAAAATGAATGTCTAGTCGGGCGGAAGTCAATCGCTCGGTGTCGCAATGCGAACTTTGATTAGTCGTCGCAAAGAAGGAATGGCAAGATATCTAGGACGCGATATCTAGGCTGTGTAAGGTAAAAAGAAGGGAAGGGCGAGTCAACATGTCACGAGCTCATGATCATGGATCTCAAAGACTCAACACCACGGGGCGAAAGAAGAGAGGCGCGTTCTTCCAACGGGGAATGTGTGGAAGATGCAGGAGGGAAGAGAAAAGAGAAGAGGTTGAGAAGTTAAGAGGCTGAGAGAAGTCGAGAAAATGCCAGCGCAAAGCTGGGTTAGAGACAAACCGTTCCTGCCCAGTCCTCCTACAGTAGCCCACTCCGGCCACCATGCGGCATGGGTCAAGACTCCAAGGCGCAAGCTGGCGAAGCTAACCTCACAATGCACCTGCCTGACCTGCGTAGGCACGGGTGGAGATGCAGATGCAACCCTCCACTGACACGGGAATTGAAGGGACACTTTCACTTTCATCGTCGTACGTTGAGATACAACCATGTTGAAGCTTCGCCTGTATTGCTGATCAGTAAACAATCTATAGAAGTCGTTTCATCCTCTCGGATCGCAATGAGAAAACTTGACGCCAGTTTCATGCGATCAACAATCAGTCGGGTCCCCTTCGTCCACTCGTTCTCTCACGCGCCACCATGTTTCTCACGCACAAACAAGCTACGAGCACCTACCACCTCCGGACCCTGCAATCTGTTCAGGTCCCAAGCGTCTCTGATTGGTGGGCCTGTCAATCACTCGTCAAGCGAAATTGCTGCCAGGGATCGTGATCGGCTGCTGGATTCGTGACTCGCAGGCCCCATCACTTGTTTTTGCGGGGCGGCGTTGACATCCCCAAAGTTCGTCTTTTTTGACCTAGAACGACCCCTTTCCTCCGCAACAGCAGGGCAAAGCGAAAGCGAAGAGACGGCGTCTTTTTCCTCTGGCTTCGTTTGATCCCGCTCGTGCCGCGCATGGACAACCGATAGCTAAGGTCGTGAAATGGGCGCTATCGGGTGATGCACCGTTGCGCAACCAGACGGAACAACTTCCTGGAATCCACCAGTTCTCTTCCTTTGGCTGAAGCATCACGGGTATCGGCATTTGGATCGAGCCACTGCTTTATCAACTTCAACATTGCACAGGAACAATAGCCTCCTGGTCAACATCTTTTGAACTTTCCCGGCAGTCATGGGAAAACTCCGAGCAAACTTCCAAGGTTGTTCTCTCCCTTGCGCTGTACATCACGTCTATCGCACCATGATTGTGGCGCAGGGGAGATTGGAGGTCCGAACAATGGCCCCCCAGCTCTCAACTGCAGGAAAGAAGCTTGATAAGATCGCAATTTGAGCTCGGTTCACGGGATCGCAATCCCCAATGGTGTAATGTCCGCCAGCAAGGACGATCCAGGATCAAACCCAAGGTTATCGTAAGACAGGTCAAAGCTGAACAGCTAAGACGAGATATGATAGCTAAAACACGGACCCGACGGGACTACCAAAACTATTAAGGTACTCGACGGAGGAATACCTAACAACATGCAAACGCAAACTTGAAGTCGAGAGCTTTACCCAGCTCATCAATCCCAGCAGCAACTATCAACTACACAATCCAAAAACCATATGCAAACAATCCCTCCCCCTCGTCCTCGGTATCACAAATCCTCCAAACTCCAGAATTTCCCTGCCGCCCCTGCGAGCTGTGGAATGGGAAACTCGGAATCGGAGGGACCATCCCACTTCCGCTCTACGCGCTCCCAACACCCTCAACAAGGCCAGAAAGGACTACTGTAGGACCCTGACGACCCCAATCCCCCGTCCATCCCCCTGTAATTTCTGAAACGCTAGCATTAACAAGGGTACCGCTGCCTCGGCTTTTACACGCTTGTTATCCTTGTTATTCCCCTGGTTATCGTCTCCTGCTGGGGCTCACAGAGCCCCGGGCCGGGGCCTTGGTTGTTGACATCGACAGGGTGAACAACCTCGATAAATTTCGTGGGTGAGGTGATCACCGTCACAACCCCCCAGTGGTTCCAGTGGCTCCAGTTGCCGTTGCCGCCCGGACGGCGCTCCCACTTCCATCGGTCTGTGGGGAAGCTGCAGTGATGGGGATTCAAGATGCGATGCGAGGGAATTGGGAGAGAGATGGGAAGGTAAGGGAGCAGACGAGACGAGCGGTAAACTCGGTTCCTGCTTCACATAATACATATGTCAAGATTTCTGGAGTTGTTTGACGTTGGAAAATCATCATAATCATCACCGGCGCAGAACAGTAACTGAAGTGCTGGTTACTACTTTCTTGTCAGGTCTTCGAAATCGACCGTGACTACTGCTACTGTGTAGTGTACCCGTCAGGGCCAGCCAGAATCGCCTTCCTACTTCCTACCCCCAGGCTGTAAACAAAGCCGGAAATGGAAGGGGGTGAGAGTGTAACTGATCATCGGAAAGCAAAAAGCTGGGAAATACTATGGTACATACAAAGTCTAAAGAAAACCAAAGCTGACTGACGAACAATTCCACGGACACGGCACGGCTGGCAATATCAATCAGTTGGTTGGTACAACGTAGTAAGTAAGCTGACAGAAGTCACCCTCAAAACCCCATGAAGATGCATACATATCGCTTCCTCCCGTCTTTCCCATTTCAGCTACCGTGCGCATACATACGCTCACGGAATCCGCTGAATGGGAGCTCTTCGCACAACCATAGACTCACAGTCAAATTCAGGGCTCCAGACGGACAGCCCGATCGAGCATCGAGCATCGAGCATCGAGGAACAGACGGGAAGAAGCGGGAGGTATCGTAGCTGAGTAGTACTGTAGGAGTGCATACAAAGGTAAGGATAGTAGTGCATTGGGGACAAGATGACGGGCATCATGGAAATATTGATCACCCATGCGCATAGTAGCATTGAGCCATAATCACTCACATCATGGATATAGCACAGCAGAGCAGAGCAGAGCGCTAATTTCACGCATGGGATCGACAGCCTTGTTGGCACCTGTTGGTGTGTCTATTTAATCTATCTACATATGTGCAGCAACCTATGTGCAGCAAGTGAAATCAATATTCAGCTCGCGATGCGCGGGTATAGCTAGAGCGATCCAACACATCCCGGACCTCTGAGCAAGTCTGTTAGCTTGAGAATACACCAAATAAACCCGCTTGACCGTGTGTGCCTCTTGGTCTTTGTGTGTCTGAACCGCACTATCCCTGCCACAGGTATGTGCCGTGTTTGTGTGTATCTCTCCCGGTCCGATATATCGAACCCAGGATTGCCAGCCCTGATTGCTGTATGCACAGCATATCATTTCTTGTCATCCTTGTCATCGAAGACACCATGCTGCATCATCATAGAGATGCTGAATGAGCTGAAAAGATCCAGGTATGATATGTACTCGTTCAGATACTCCAACATCTTCAGAACTGGGATCCAAGCCTGAACCTCCCCCCTTGAGTGAAGTACCCAGGCGTTTATTCGGGTTTGCTAGTCCCGATTGCTGTATGTAGAGAACATCATCCTTTATCAATGTGCCGAAAGCATAAACATGCTGCTTCTCAATGAAGGCCAGGCCGGATGTAAGCAAAGGTTCGCTCAAAGAGCCATCCTTCTTCGAAACCGAAATTCGAGCCTGATCCTCTGGATCAAACCAGAAATACTGGTAAATGAATAACTCCGAACATGTAAAAGGTATGAAGGTACAGAGACCCTCAGGTGATGCGCTATCAAGGCCACTGCGTGTCGCCTTCGCAAATCAAGGCGAACAAATGGTCGGTTGATTTTCTAGGAAGAACCACTGCTCTGATAGAGATCTGTCTCGAGGAACGGCACCCGACGCCTTCTATAGCCATTGTTGGCGACCCACGCGACAACTGGGTGGCTCATGTCATCCTACTTAGGAGCCTGACCGTATGCGTTGTGCTGTCCCCAATACTGCTGCTGCTGCTGCTGCTGCTGCTGAGGCTGTTGAGGTTGTTGAGGCTGTTGGGCCTGCTGGGCCTGCTGGGCATGCTGGGCCTGCAGCTGTTGGAAAAAGGCCGGGTTTACGTATGCGCCAGCGACAGGGGGTGGGGGCGGGACGCCAGGCCACACAGGCGGGACGGCCGGTGCCTGATGAGGGTAGCTGGGAGTTGACGATTGTTGCTGGGGCGCGGGAGCAGATGATGACGAGGACTGTTGTGGGTATTGATACGGTTGACCCTGAGCCTGGTTCCACGCCTGAAAGTTGAAGTTGAAAGCTCCTGCAAGCTGAGGGGGAGGAACAGGTGACTGGGTAGAGGGCCGGGGGAAGGAGATAGGGGGCGGCGGGAATGAAATGGGGATATGAGGCCAATGGCCACCGGGCATCGGAGGTGCTGCTCCTGGGGTTGCGCCGAAGGGAGGCAGGGGGATTTGAGCATTCTGGGGGATGGAAGGAGGCAGTTGTGTTGTGGGGAATGGAGGTGCCGGAGTGCTGTCGTAGCCTCCATATGAAGGGGCGGCAGCACCACCACGTCCACCACGGTGGCCACCAGGCCTCCGATCAGCACCACGGTTTCCTCCGCGCTGGCCACGGCCGCGGAACTCACCCCGGTTTCCACGGCTGAAGCCACCCCTCTGACCCTGACCACCATATGCCGCGTTGAATCCAACCTCGGGCTTCGGTGGCAGTGAAGGCGGTCCTCCCTGACCAAAGCCTACGGGCCTAGCGAGAGGCCTGTACGGACCATCGTCATCCTCGTCGTAGTTGAGGGTGGCGCTGGATACTGTGGGAGTATAGTCGAGGGTGGCGCTGGATGCTGAGGGAGCATACCCAGTGCTCGGGGCGTAAGACTGGTCACGAAGGACCTGCTCACGTAGACCTCCCCGTCCGGCCTTTCCACCACGCTTCTTCATCTTTAGCTGCTTCTTGTATTCGGCTTCCTTCTCATCGTCGGAGAATTCCATTTCATCAGCACCAACTTCTTCGTCGTGGAGGTTGCTGGCATCGGTGCCCTTTT